AGCCTTAGCTTTGGACTGGGAAGGTGGCTTAGTGGTAGAGTGCTTGCCTTGCATGCATGAGGCCCTGGGTTCGATTCCTCAGCACCACATAAGCAAAAAGGAAAAAAAAGCCGGAAATGGTGCTGTGACTCAAGTGGTAGAGCACTAGCCTTGAGCTGAAGAGCTGAGGGACAGTGCCCAGGCCCAGAGTTCCGGCCCCATGACTGGACCCAAAAGAAAAAAAGCCTTAGCTTTGTGAACACTTATTGTCTATCCTGTATATCAGAAAAAAAGGTCTTATAAGTGTTGGAAAAAATAAACAAAAAACTTTTCTCAGTACCTGAACTTATATCACAGATTTATTAACTTTTCAAATACCTGCAATCTAAGTCAATGTAACAGAGTTATTTAACAGTACTAAATAAATAATGCTATATACCCTTTATTATTATAGTTTTAGATTAGTAGCCTTTAAAATTTTGTCCCATTAAGTCTTGACTTTTTTTAAAAAATGCAAAGATTTAATAAATGAATTCAAAGTATAAAGGTTAAATGATCAGGAGAGAGATTATTGTAATTAGAAGTCTAATTATTCCTTAGATGATTATTCTCTTAGAGCAGAGAAAAACCTAATTGTAATATTTCAATCCTAATAACTGCCATTACAAAACATTTTTAGATTGTTATTATAATGACTTAAATTACTTTATGATACATAATTATTCTATTATTCAGGTTTTCTATCAAATCTAACAAAAGTCTTAACATGGTATTATTAAGAAAACATCAATTCGAGACAATGATATAAGTATACCAAGTTATTACTTCATTTACTAATTATTAAATAGAAAATATCCATATCCTATTAATAAATATAGTATTCAAAAAATGATAGTTATTTTAAATACAGCTAAATATATTGTATATTTTTGGTAATAAACATATTTATAAACATAAATTTCCATGTTTAGATATAAATGCATATGTTGTATGTGGCTAACTGCTAATATTTTACATTTTAAATATTATTCATCTCTATGCCATGTGTGTATGCATATATATGCAATGACAATTCTAATTACATTTGTTACATTATCTTAAAATAAGTATAAGCTCAGTAAATGTTAGAAACAATCCAGTCAAATTATATTACTAACTCATGTAACTATCTAAAACTACATTCTTATCTAATCTTATCAATACTTATCTAATCTTATCTTATCTAATACTACATTCCATTCTTTCAAATTGTTTGAATGGTCCTTAAACAAAATATCAAAAGTTATAGGTAATCTGTATTATATCAAATATTATTTAAGGATCATAATATATCTGTGGGATTAGGAAAAATTGTTAAAATTAATATGCAGGAGAAGTAAATCACAATGCATTCTATGTTGTACATAACAGTAATAATGGACTACTCCATTTCTCTAGAAGCTTACTGATTTTTGAAATTAGATGTGTAAATTCACATAAACATGATGATAATTAACCAAAAATATTTACTTCCTTATTCTATAATCTGCAGTGGGCAAAAGAGAAGAGTAAAAGAATAAGAGAACTGACCTAAGCCTTATCTACTAAATATCATTTGATGTATATAAATTAAAGCATGCTAGAAAAAAGTATCCTGACAAAGAATAAACTTAAATCTTTAAATCTGCAAACCAGATTAAATTTATATTTTCATTTTATTTGGTTTTATCTTATAGATACTACTTACCTGTCACAAGAACAGCCTTTAGAAAAATGGCCAGGACACCCCAGAAAAGGAAATGGCTCTTCATCTTGACTTTCTTCTTTTGAAAAAGTAAAGCCAGAAAGTCAAGGATAAGGTATGTGACCTCGAAGGAGTGTGCAAATTAACAGTGCTTCTGCTTTCTTAAAATAACACTCCACGCAACTATAAACAATCACAACTGTAGTTGAACTCTGAATTTTAAAAGCTGAACTGGAAAAAAAATGTAGGATTCATAGTTAAGTATTTCTATCTAAATGATCTGATGTAATGATTTTTATTTTGCATTTCTGTTATTAAAAATGTGTGAACCAGCAGAGTAATAATAAGTCAGGAGTATATTAACAATATTTAAATACAAATTCTCAACTTCATTGTCTAGAGTTATTGATATTTATCTTCAAACTAAATATTTGACATTTGTTGTAGTTGGAACAGTAAATGAAGGAAAGGGAAGGGTAAAAAGGAAAACAAAATAAATGAGGACCATTTAAGATCCCAATTATATCTTGTGTAAATTTTTTCTAAGTCTTTAACCATAGGATCAGATTTAAACATCAGTGTGTATGTTCTTATTACCTTGAGTAATTTTCTAAGTAATAACTTGTAATTAGAATTATATATTGGTGGATTGGATACATCACTTGCAATGTTTTAATTTCATAACAAGACAAATGTTGTTTTAATATTTAATAACCCTTTTAGAATTGTAGACTCATGCTATTATTCTTCTTTGAGATGCCTCAATACAAAACTAAATCCATGAAATCTTTTGCTTACTATTTTTCCTCTAAGTGTCAATTTTTTTTTAATCATGAGTTTTGGAGAACAACCTCCCAACCTCTATCTCCAACATATTAGAATTTCCTGTATCATAGGCATGACTAGTTCCAAGATTGTGTTGGTTGTATTTATATGAAACAACATCATAATCTGTGTTACTTTTCATTCTTACCTCTGATTTTTAACTGGTCTTGGCAAAATTTTAAGAGGAATAAATACATTGCAGGACCTTAAGTAGACAAGCTAAAAGTCGAAAATGGAAGGATAAAGAGATATGAAATGCTAGCACAAAATTGCATTCAGTTATTGAAAGTCTAGCAAGAACAGTGTAAGGATAATGCATATGCTGAAATCATATGAATAATTTAATCGATTAGAAAAAGAACCAGATTTGAAAGCAAGTCAGTTTAGTTTGTGGTCAGGATGTTGAAACAAATATCAACTACTCTACAGAGTCCTCAGCCCTCACTATAGTTTCTAAATGACTAGCTTATTCTATAATTAAAAGTTAGCTGAAGGGATGGGAAGGTGGCTCAGTGGTAGAGTGCTTACCTTGCATGCATGAGACCCTGGGTTCAATTCCTCAGCACCACATAAGCAGAAAAAAGCCTAAGTGGTGCTGTGGCTCAAGTGGTGGAGTGCTAGCCTTGAGCTGAAGAGCTGAGGGACAGCACCCAGGCCCAGAATTGAGGTTCCATGACCAAAAAAAAAAAGTTAGCTGAAGAGTTTAGGTTATTATTTTCTTCAAAATATACCAGTGTTCAACAGTTTCCTGAAAACAAGATGGATAAATCCCTGGACATAAAGCTTTCTCCAAAGCTTCTTTAAAAAAAAAAAAAAAAGCAGGGACTAATGAGGGACAGTGATAGATGTAGATGAGTAGGGCACGTTATATGTATCTGTGGAAAGGTCACAATGAAACCCCTTTGTATAACTAATATATACAAATAAAGTTTTATGAATATTATTCGATTTTTATAAGTACTAACCTAAATAAAAGCTCTAAATTTTGTTTCTCAATTACTTTACTTTGCAGTTTTATAATTCTATTATGCAAACTATATATCTAAAAATAGACAAAAATTAAGGCATGTGCCAGGTGTCAGTGGTTCATGCGTATAATCCTAGCTACTCAGGAGGCTGAGATCTGATGACAGAGGTTCAAAGCCAGCCTAGACAGGAAAGCCTGTGAGACTCTTATCTCCAATTCACTGCTAAAAAGCTAGAAATAGTCCTGTGACTTAAAGTGGTACAGCACTAACTTTGAGCACAAAAGCTCAGAGAAAGCACCCAGGCTTTGAGTCCAAGCCCCAGGACTAGCACAAAAGAAACAACAACAAAAAAGAGTAAGCTGGGCATCCCATTGGCTCACACCTGTAATCCTAGCTACTTAGAAGGTTTAGATCTGAAGATCACCAGCCCAGGCAGGAAAGTCCCTGAGACTCTTATCTCCAATAAAGCACCAGAAAACCGGAAGTGGTGCTGTGGCTCAAGTGGAAGAGCATTAGCCTTGAACTGAAGAGCTCAGGGACAGTGCCCATGCCCAGAGTTCAAGCTCCAGGACTGACCAAAAAAAGTAAGACTCTTTGTCACCCAAAGAAATAAACTATATTGGCATTATCAGGACTGAAACTAGTGTTTCTTTACTTTGTATAGTCTAGGGATTATCTGCCTAGAGTCACTTGAAGAGCTAGTTAAAATATAGATGTCTCAGTTATCCTTACTCAGAATTTCTAGAGACATGATCTTGGGTTTTGTTTTTTTTTAAATCAGACTCAATTGCCTCTGATATATACCAAAGTCTGAAAACTGATTAATAAGAAACCTGTGGAAGAGGGAATAACTAGCAACATTAATTAGTTATGAATGTGCATGAAGTTAATAAAGATTTTTTTAAGCTCACAATGGAAATAAGTTAGTTGAGATTCTGTTTATATTAAAAATTCTATGCTTCAGGTAAATTGTTTCAGATAGTTTTAACATTAATTAATCATATAGATTTCAAATTACCTAAGCTCTCATTTCAGTTATGTTCTTCCCAAAATGTGAATAGTAGAGTCCTTTATGTGCAAATGAACGAAATGATTTGAGGACTTTGCCTCATTATAAATTCTTCACCAAAAAGAAACATTTTTTTTCATTATTTTTAGTTGTACAAAAGAGTTGCCATGTTTTTTAAGATTCATGTGGTTCAGTGGTAGGCTCACTTGGATAAAAGAGATAAAGGTAAATCATTCTGAGATTAACATTTGTTTGAAAACCAGCTGACTTAGTTGGATGCTTAATTTCTTCTTGATATAGCTTATTATGAGAAACTCAAATCAGGACAAGATTTTATTCTCTTTAGACATAAATTGGGAGAGTGTGCTCCCTGGTTTCTTTCTTTTCACTTCTGGTAACTCATCAGTCTCTTATGGATTTTTTTCTGAATATTAAAGGAATCAAGGCTTAATCCTTAGACATCTCATCATCTTCCTACTTTATTTTGTTCTATGGCTTTTAATACAGGGAATGCTGAGGACTCCCAAATGTATAAACTCTAGCCTTGTCTTTAATCATTAGATAGCTTCACTCCAACTTTTTGGTATTTTTCTGATATCTCTACTTTGCTATCTAATGGTTTTCTAAAATTTAAACAAATAAAACAATTCTCTCTCTCTCCCTCTCTCTCTTCTCCCCTCTCTCCTTTCTTCTTTCCTCTCTCTCTACCTCCTCTCAATTATGTATATTGGGAAAACATTAATACCTGTCCTTCTGAGTCTGGCTTATTTTTTCAGAGCCTCAAGTTCCATATGTTTTATTGCAAACAATACAATTTCATTTGTCTTAATGCATATGTCACATTTTCTTTCTCCATTTATCCAATAATGGCATCTAGGTTGGTTCTATAACTTGGCTATTATGAATAGTGTTGCAATAATCATGAGTATAAAAGAAATTATAAAACACTGAAGAGGTGGAAGAATATATCAGAAGGTTGCCAGATACTGGTGGCTTATGCCTGTAATTCTAGCAACTCAGGAGGCTGAGATCTGAGGATCATCATTCAAAGCCAGCAGGAAAGTCCATGAGACTCTTATCTCTAATAAACTACTCAGAAAAAGCCAGAAGTGGTGATGTTTCTCAAGTGGTAGAGCTCTAGCTTTCAACAAATTAACAAATGAAGCTCAGGGACAGTGCCCAGGCTCTGAATTCAAGCACTAGGACTGCCCGCCCCTCCCACCCAAAAAAAGATACAGAAGGTTTAAAAAATCCACATTCATGGAACAGCAAAATTAATACCATTAACAGGGCCATATTACTGAAAAGAAACTACATGTTCAATGTACCCCCTATAAAGGGTCAAATGGTATTCTTCACAGAACTATAAACAACTCTAAACTTCAGATGGAAACATACAAGACCTCAATTAGCCAAGGCAATCTTGGGGGGAGGGAGAGAGAATGGTGGAGGTATTACAAAACCGAACCTCAAATTACTCTGTAGAGCCAAAATAACAAAAACAGCATGACACCTAGGCCAATGGAGTACAATAGAAAGACCTAGAAGATAAACTACACAGTGACCAATGTCCGATAGGTTGTTACAAGGTTTGAACTTGTCATTTGCTAGTCTGCCACTCTACTTCTTGTACATCTTTGTCCCTGATTTTTCTGGTTATTTTAGAGATGGAGTCTAGCAAATTTTTCTGCCTAGATTGGTATCAAACTAAGATTCTCCAGATTTCAGCCTCCTAGCAGCCTGGGCAGGAAAGTCTGTAAGACTCTTATCTCCAATTAACCACCAGAAAACTGAAAGTGGCACTGTGCCTCAAGTGGTAGAGTGCTAGTGTTAAGCTGAAGAGCTGAAGGACAGCACCCAGGCCCAGAGTTTAAGCCTATGATCGACAAGAAAAGAAAAAAGTACTAATGATTTAGCTATAATACTCCTGGATATATAACCAAAGGAAACAAAGGAACCAAAGGTGTAAGTTTTTAAGCCAACTTTGGTGACATTTTGAGGGAGCTGAGGCAAAAGGATAACAAATTTAAGGCTAGCCTATGCTGCATAACAAGACTTTTTGTCTAAAAATAAAAAGCTAGAGCTGTAGCTCAGCAGTAGAGCACTTACTTAGAATGCTCTAGGCCCTGGGTTCAATTTCTAGCACTACACAGACACACACACACACACACACACACACACACATTTATTTATATATAAATAAATATATATATGTTTTATCTTAAACTAGACTTTAAGATATATGCTATTTTAATATTACAGCAAGTAAAATTAGGAAAAAATATAGAATATTATAAATTAAACATGATCAAGTTGAAAAGAAATTTAATTATAGTAATTTGAATGTAATAATTTGGGAGAAATATGGCTTCATGTTTATTAGCTATTAAGCTATGCATTACATCTTACATTACTATTACGTCCTGTCTCACCCCCCACAACTCATTGCCCACTCTAAAAAGTAGTATTTTTTTCATTTTCGTTGCTCATCCTGAGGCTTGAACTCAGGACCTGGACACAGTCCCTGAGTATTTTTGTTCAAGGCTTGCACTATACCCCTTGAGCCACAACTCTACTTCCAGCCATTTTTGGTGGTTAATTGGAGATAAGAGTCTTACAGACTCTTTCATACTTAGGCTGGCTTTGAACCACAGTCATCGGATTTCAGCCTTCTAACCATCTTGGATTACAGGTGTGAGCCACTGGTGGCCCAGCTCAAAGTAGTATTTTATCTATTTATCTGTCCACCTATCTGTCTGTCGGTCTTTCTTTCTGTCTGTCTTATTTACATATTTTTTGTCTGTCCTGGGGCTTGAACTCAGGGCCTGGACACTGTCCCTGAGCCTGTCTGTACACAAGGCTAGAACTCTACCACTTGAGCCACAGTGCTGCCTCCAGCTTTTTCTGAGCAGTTCACTGAAGATAAGAGTCTCATGGACTTTCCTGCTGAAACTGGCTGGGAACTGTGATCCTTACATCTCAGTCTCCTGAGTAGCTAGGATTACAGGTGTGAGCCACTCAGCCAAAGTAGTATTTATTTTTATTCTTTTTACTCTGGGCCTGGGTGCTGTTCTTCGGCAATTCAGCTCAAGGCTAGTGCCCATCCACTTGAGCTACAGAGCCACTTTGGCTTTTTTCTGCTTATGTGGTACTGAGGAATCAAACTCAGGGCCTCATGCATGTAAGGCAAGCACTCTACCATTGAGCCACCTTCCCAGCCCCCAAAGTAGTACTTTTCAAAGCTAAATCACATCATATCTGACTTAAAACCTACCAATAGCTTTTCATTGCATTCATAATAAATTCAAAGTCATTATCCTACCTACTTCTCAAAATTATCCCTTTCACTCTCCATCTTCCTCTGCTCAGCAACTTTGTGCTCTCTACTCCCTCTGCTTGAAACATTTTTCATATTCTTGCATGAATGTTACTATTCAAGTCTCAAGTAAAATGTAATTGCCCTAAAGAGAAAAATCATGGGTGTTAATCATCCTAACCAATCACTTCACTGTCATATTACTTTTTCAAGGCACTTACCATTGTTTGACATTCTACTTTATTGAGTATCTCTATCTCCTCTTCATTGGACTTAAAGGTATTAAAAGAGTAGCATTATTCTGTTGTTTGCCTGTTTCTAAAAAGCAAAGAAACATCTCAAATATACAGATGAAGGATAATAAGCATTTTTACAAAAAGTTGAAAACTACCAAATTTAATCTCCAAACAATTACTAGTCTCTTTTTTGGATAGGCTTCATATTGTCAGTGTCCCTTTAAAAGTATAATAAACAGTCAGGTGCCAATGGTAATGTTAGCTACACCAGAGGCTGAAATCAGAATTATAACATTTTTTCTATTAAACACAAGTTAAAATGATATTGTCTTCTTTCTTTGCAACCATACTACACAGTTGGCTTCAATTTGATCAAATACAATTTCTGTTTTTAAAAATAAGTGTTTTGAAGCTGAAGGTATAATTCAGTGGTACAGTGCTTGCCTACTCTATACACAGCCTTTGATTTAATCCCAGTACCACCAAAAAATTATTTACTTTTTAATTTTTTTAATTGTGATTAAGTGATTACATTAATTCCCCAAATTTCACAGTATTGTGGGATAGTGATGCTCAGTTAAAAGTCACAAACACATTCTAACTTTCCTGGAGGAAATTTGTCTATCACAGTCTATAACATTTATGAGTTCTATGAGCTTTGTGATAGTTATTTCTTCCACATTGGGTGATATGTACATTTCTTTTGTTTTGCATAGCATCAGCTGTTCCCTCTTTCCCATTTGTTCCCTCCCTCTCATCGCTGCCATTAAGTTGCTTAGTTCATTTTGGTCAATGTCCATTGTAGCTGATGGGTCCTGCTGTTGTATGTTCAAAAAAAAAGTAATGACTTCTTCAGATTCAATTTTTAAGCTCTTGTATTTTGGGTATGAAATTTAGCTTTGATCTCTGAAAGTTTTAACTTGTTAAATTCACACACATTTTATCTTGTTAAGTTACAAGCTATCAAATTCTTTTCAAATCAATATTCTGAAACCTATTATTTCTCTTGCCTTCATACTACCTGAAAACTTGACACATATGCCATCAGTCCTTATTTAAGTAATTAATATTCAATAGGATAGTTCTTAAGATAGACTTTCATGTCATACATCTGAAGTTACACTTATTCAGTAACAACAATCCATTATTACATACAGTAAAGGAAGTAATTTCAAGCTAACTCATATGTCTCATATTAGCCCATGGACTGAAACTTTCCATTTCATCTGTAAGAGCTGCATCAATATAATAGATCTATCCATTAACCTTTATTTTTCCACTTGAACATCTTCTCTAACATACAAGGCTCCTTAAAGCAACATGGCATTCTGCCACTTAAACACTTTTTTAAAAATGATATTTTTAATATCCTTCTTGGCTTTAAATAAAAAATATAGCTGAATTCCCTTGATTTTTCCATGTAATAGACTTAAGTTCTTCATTTGGTATAATTACGTATATTTCCATTTGTCCTTGAACTTGAAAAACAATTTGATAATGAATAGAATTTTCCATTATCTATTTTTGTTTGGAACAACCAACTCCAAACATAATGTGGCCTTTCTGGCCACATAAACCTTGAATTAAGTATCTGTCTACTTCGAAAAATCTTACAATTTTACAAGTAACTTCTTAGTGTCTCCAAAAATATGTATTCAAAGCCCTAAATATATTTGATAGTCACTGTGGTGGTATTGCAAGGTGTACATGAAAGAGAGCTATTAGCCTTGAATCTAAAAATTATTTTTCATTTTCTTAATGACTCCAGAATATATTTGTTCCAAAAAAGTAAATAAAAGCTTTTAAAGAAAACTGTAAAAATATACACTTGAGATATTTTTTATATCAGATGAATTCATAGTACATTACAGAGAAACTGCATGTCAACTTTTTTGTGTGTGTTTCAGTCCTGGGGCTTGAATTTAGGGACAGGGCATCGTCCGTCCCTGAGCTTCTTTTCTTCAAGGCTAGCACTCTATCGATTGAGTCGCAGCGCCATTTCTGACATTTTCTGTTTATGTGGTACTTGTAAGGTCTGCCCCGGGCCATGCAGGCACTGACGTCCAGACCTCCTGCTTGCCTTGTAATACTCAGGAATCGAACCCAGGGCTTCATGCATGCTAGGTGAGCACTCTACCACTAAGCCACATTCCCAGCCCCACGTCAACATGTTTTGTTTTTTGTCCGTCATGGGGCTTGAACTCTGGGCCTGGGCGCTGTCCCTCAGCTCTTCAGCTCAAGGCTAGGGCTCTACCGCTTGAGCTACAGCGCCACTTCTGGTTTTCTGGTGGTTTGTTGGAGGTAAGAGTCTCACAGACTTTCCTGCCAGGCCTGGCTTTGAACCGCAATCCTCAGACTCAGCCTCCTGAGAAGCTAGGATTACAGGCATGAGCCACTGAGGCCCAGCTCCATGTCAACTTTTATAACCAATGTCAGATAACCTAGAATTAATTGACAACCCCCCCCCTCCCCCCCCCCCCGCAAAGGAAGATACATGAAGGGAAACATGGACACAAGAGACTTCTTTTCCAAAAACATATGTTTTTGAAATATGTTAAACGACAATGAGAAATACAGCATTTACAACTTCTCCATATACCTTGAGATATTAGACAATGTTAAAGGAACTCAACACGGAGAAATAAATCATGAGAAGATTTTATTGGCACTTGAGGAAAGAGCTGCTGTCAGAAGACAAAAGCAAAAACACTTTGTAAATGTGAAGCTGGCCGAAGGCTACAGGTCCCCTGGAGCCCTAAACTTCAATTCCATGGTCCCGTCTCCGTTACTGCCTTGCAGGTTAGCATGCGGTGGATTGCAACACCTGGCGCACAACGTGGGGCACGCAGCAGAGCACTGGGGACGGAAGAATTTGGGAGGTCAGCCGTGGAACACTGAAAAGCTCGTGATCCGGAACCCACGCCAGGACACGCTTCAGGGCTGCCAGGTTGTCTCAAGGATCTCCGGAACCAACTGGGCCCAACTTTTCTTAAATAGCAGATTACAATTTATTACATCCTTCCTCCAAGTAAACAGCTTGTCCCCAAATGACCAGACTGTGATTGAAGATGTCCTAGAGGAGAGTGGCTATTACAGTTGTACATCTAACAGGGGGGGACCAAGAGTCACCTAACCAAAAGATGAAAACACTGCATTTTCAATGGATTTGGTTTCCCCAGTGAAGTTCAAGTTCTGGACTTTAGCCACGCTGCAAGATGCCCAAGGCATGGATGTTGCTAAAAGGTGTAGAAGAGGAAATAAACAAACTTTTATGGGCCAGCAGAACCTCTATCTGGGGGTCTTGTTGAGGTGGAATGTGACTAGCTATATGGCTGGGGGGCCTCCATTCACTGTATGCTTTATATACAAGATGGCAGGGCTGTCAATGCGCTTCAAGGAGAAATCGCAGACTTGGTGGGGGAGAGCGTTGGGAACACACAGAATTTTCTTCCTTATTTTTTCAAACTTGTCATATTTTTCGAAGGAACATTTTATCCTCAGGATTGCAAAAACTATTTAGTATCTAGCCTTCCATGTATTAAAAAAAATAGGGCTGGGAAGGTGGCTCAGTGGTAGAGTGCTGTGTTGCATGCATGAGGCCCTGGCTTCAATTCCTCAGCACCACATAAGCAGAAAAAGTCGGAAGTGGCTCTGGGGCTTAAGTGGTAGAGCACTCACTAGTCTTGAGCTGAAGAGCTGAGGGACAGTGCCCAGGACCAGAGTTCAGGCCCCACAACCGACAAAAAAACAAAAAAAAAATAGTTTTAGATAAAGAAACTTACGGCACCCAAAATGACATTTCAGGTGATTTGCTGTTTCTCTCATTTTTTCAACCTTAAAAGAAAAAATAGGCAATTAAAAATAAACAAAAGGGGGCTGGGAAGGTGGCTCCGTGGCAGAGCGCTTGTCTTGCATGCATGAGGCCCTGGGTTCGATTCCTCAGCACCACATAAGCAAAAAGAAAAAAGCCGGAAGTGGCACTGTGGCTCAAGTGGTA